CCATTAGACCTCCATCATGAGAGATGTTACATTTTATATATTACACATTCAGTGCTCATGTACTACTCATCACATTAGAAAAAGGAAAAGGTCAGAGCATGGATGGCAGTGCTCTATATAAACCTTCCAGAGCATCCTAAAATACATGCTTAAAACCAAGGGATGCAAGAGTTTAATTGTGTAAGATTATGACCCAATTCTCAACATCAAAACCACAGTCTTTGTGTTTTGACGCAAGCCTATAAATACACTGCCTCTTTAGCAAGCCCTCAATGATCTGATTATTCTCAGTACTATATTATGTATTTCTTTTTCATTCGAAACCTCCATTAGTGAATAATTATTTTTAAGTATTGATTATCACTATTATGAGTCTATCCCCTTATTGTTCCATGTAAAATAAGTAACCAAAACAATTCCTCCCTGTAATGGATCATAATGTGATTACTGTGAGATTTCACTTTTGTAATTAGTTTACTGAGCAGAGAGTGTATTTCCATTGACCTGGGCAGCACCTGATGCTGAGGACAGAGCATTGTTAGAACCAATGGGGGTGCTTCTGGCACAGATCCATCACTGAGATCCTATATCTGCTTTCCACCAGCGCTGGGCAGTGAAGCAAGCTGCTAATGAGGCTCTAATATGTTAGACCCTCAAATTAATTGTTGTTATGTATTTTTCATTTTAGAAGGCCTCTGACACATTTGTCAAGCTGTGTAAAGATGCTTACAGTATATACACATTTAGAATGTTACAGTATAATCCATCTAAATATACATATAATCTATGTCTTGTGGTTTGATGAAGTACAGCAAGATCCAATCTGACCTGTCAGTGGAGCTGAAGAAACTAGGGCTCCTGGATAAAGAGAAGTGCAAGGATTACATCCTGCTGACCTATGGCAGCCCAGTTCATGGGTCTATTCTTGATGCTTATATGCTGTCCTTGGTGCTGAAAACAGAGCGGGGACCTTGTCTGACCACACAAACACATACACAAGTATGAGCACCAAGAAGATTCTGGCTCCCATTTTATCTGGAAGGATCCAGAATAGCAGAAGAATAAATCCTCCACCTGGCCTCAATACTTCTACAGTCTTCAGCACAGACATGGACACCTCATAAGTGTGATGGCAGTCTGTCATTTCAGAGATGTGTTTCATTCATCTCACGGCTGTCACTATGTTTGAGCTTGCCTGTTTCAATGTGCGTGTGTAAGGCTGTGCTTTATGTGTAAGGGGGATGTTCCCCTTTTATGGCTATAAAGAAAGATGCTGTGTTTTAGCTGTCCACAGCAACATGAAGACAAAGCAAAATTTTAGACAGCGGTGAGCCAGTGAGCCAGTGAGCCAGTGAGCCAGTGAGCCTGTATTTGTGGATGCATTCCCAAACTAAGCTGGCATCCCCCCTGTGTCTCTGCTGCCTTTACTTCATTAACCAATGCGGGGCATGGCAGTCTGACAGAATTTACACCCTTTGCCACTGACGATGGGGATCATGGCTTAACCCTTCCCATTTACCGGCTATCTATTCACAATCCCATTGACGCAGGTGGAGTCTTAGCTAATCTGGGGGATTTGACGTGTGTCGTGGGAATAAAGCTGGGAGGTGATAAAAGCCCAACTGGGACAGTCTATTTTCTGAAAGTGACCATAGCAGAGACCATACGTGGGGCAGTACCACAGTAAGAACACCTGGAGAGGGGCTGGATCCCACATCCCCTCAGCCTGTGAATGAGAAGCAGGCCCAACCTGTGGAAGTACAGCGAACACTGACACTGCCATTGGGGATTTGGTGAGACATGGAGCCCATCGCACAGACCGTCTCTGGCACAGAGGCCCACTTCAAGAGGGGATTCAGGGCCCCCAAGGGTGCCTCCTCACATTTCGTAGGCAGCACTATCGTGATCCTGTCCTCGTATGCTGTGGCCACACTGGCCATGAACTTCGGGAAGAAGATCCAAGAGCAGAAGCTCAAACCCAACCCCAGCTAGCCCACCCACAGAGGCTCCCATGGGGGTCACAGGACACCTTTCACACTGTGTTTGAGCCAACCAGTCCTGTTCATCATAGATTAAGAGGAATCTCCTGTTCTGCCGCTTGAATGAGCCTTTGATGTACTCCAGGAGAAAGGAAAACAAGCAAACAAACAAAACTGAATGTTTCAAAAAGGTGTTTTGAACCTCAAGAAAAGTGAAGGAGTTCATCGCGTGTATTCATTCAAAGTGATATCACCTGACAAGGACCTCGTTGCAATATCAACCTCAGAGGATGCCAATTACCATGGAAGCACGAGTGGGAGACAGGAGTAGCAGTCTTTACCGAGTGACAGCTTATCAATGTACTGCCAAAATATGTAGCTTTGTAATGACAGGATATGTGTTTGAGGTCAGGCCGAGATAAAGAATTTATTTTTGTACTGTGGTAATGTACATACAAAAAAACAATTCACTTTCTGATAGTATTTGAAGCACAGTTTATTTATTTTGCTCCTCTAACAGACTAAATGCTGCAGTCTGGTGCTCAGGTTCTGGTGTGCATACTGATTGAAAAGGCTGTACATAGAATTGTATTACCTCAGAGTATGAAGTAGGGTTTCTTCTGTGACAGGTTTGTGCCATTTGGAGATGCACTGTGTTGCACGCACAGGGGCTACTGACTGTTGCATTTAGCTCATTCAGCTGACTTAGACTGTTGTTGACTTAGACATCTCTGTGTGTGGGTTGTGGAAAATTAGCTGCATAATGCTATTTTTATGTGATTGCGTGACTGAAGAACACTTCTGAGGGAGTGATGTTCAATGCCTTTGAAACATCTGAAGAAGAGAAATCAGCCCAGAACTCGACATTAACTGCCTGAGGCTAGTTGTGAGGGCCTCACATTGCAATTCATCTTGTCACCACAAGGGGGCACATGATTATACATCAAGGCCCCTGGCAATGGTTGCACTGCAAGAGAGTAATTGATTTAAGTAACACCCAAAAAATTTATAGCATGACAAAATTCTGTTTTTTTTTCTCTCCAAAAGCATGTTTAAGGCCTGGGGAAAACTTTGAAGAAATGGCACATGAATCTTTAGTTCTTAAAGGAAATGCATTTGATGTACTGTACAAGTTATAAGTCTAGGGTGCAAACCGTATATAATTGTAAATGTATCAGTGTTATCCACTCTGAAATAAATCAAGTTTCAGTTGAGAACTTCTCTCTTGTGTATCTTTTGCATTTTGTACCTCAAACAGTGCAAAGTACTGAGACTGTTAGCCACACCGCTGACCAATAAGCAGTAAAAATAAAGTGTCTGGAAATGGTCCTTTGACTTTATCAGTTGACAGTGTCAGTAAGTAAGGGGGAGATTTTTTTTCCCTTGAAAGTATGATTTATCAGTTAATCTCAATGTGCCTGTAAGGAATGAAGGCCATCCACATACAATGGATGTCTTCTTCAATCAAATCTTCCCTCAAGAATTTTTTACCTGCGTAAAAGAAACTGTGTGTGAGAACAGAACTCAGAATACAGGTCAAAACCAAAACTGAAATTGACTGAAGCCATTATTTTGCATGTGTTTGTGTGATACATGCTGTCAAAAGAGGAGGACAGGAAAAGTGGATCCTCTGTGCTCTGTGTAGCATAGATTAACCCTCATGCCGTAGTTGAGTAAAACTGACCAAAGAAAATTTACTGAGTTTATAATTTGCCAAGACATTTTTACACTTTGTTATTGTAAGAGAGACAAGAACATCTTTGTTGATAAAGCCAGAAAATGAACATATGACATCAACCTCATCCAGTAACACACATAATCATATACACACAAATATTCAGTTTACTTTAAAAAACACAATTCTGACAAGTGAAAGAGCTAACCTTTGCCTCATAATTAAAGAAGCATGCAGATGATGAACTAGAACAACAAGCTGGCACTCCCTCTTTCATTCAGCCTTTGGTTTGGTGCGTCTTCCTGGAATAGTGCTTTTACCACTGAACCAAGCCTTTAGTACTAATTTGCATTGTGTGTGTGTGTGTGTGTGTGTGTGTGTGTGTGTGTGTGTGCGTGTGCGTGTGCGTGTGCGTGTGCGTGTGTGTATGTGTGTGTGTTTTTGCCTACATTAAATCAAACGAGGCACCGTTTCCATTGTGTGACGATAATATGGTGTTTAGGAACCGGTCTCATAAGTGGAGGGCTAAGATGGCGGCAGCGCAAAGCCATCTTGTTACGTGTTCTGTTTTCTCTAACACCTACAGTATCACTGCTACATTACCTGCACAGGTATTATTCATCCACACAATACTGTGATCAGGAAGGAATATAAACAGACAGACAAAACTAACCAATTTATTTGACACACCCTTTATTTGTATTATTCAATACAATGATTTTGTCATAACAACATTTTTAAACGAATGATAAAAAAAACACATTTCCTTTTATGTATGTCTGGGACATAAGGTCATTCTCACTATACAGAAAGGAGAGAGGAACATCACTGTGAACTGGAGCAGAGCTCATCACACAGCCTAGCCTTAGATACCAAAACAATGCTACTCACTTACCTAATTCAGCCTTATGGGTTTCTCTTCCTGGAGCGGTATTATATACCCATGAGTACATTTGCTACCCTTAATCTGCATTAGCTCCACATACATTTGGAAATCTACCGTACATGGGAATGCTAGCAAAAGCACTACCAGGAACAGTTCCGTGGCCAGCCCAAACTCCTCGCAGCTCTTCACCTCCTTGGCCCCAACAGAAAAAGTACTATACACCAGAGGTCCTCTGCTGTTTTAAAGTTCCACAGCCCTCTCTCTCTCCACCACATCCACTTCGGTCTCCTTTCATGCAGCCATATTGCTACCGGCCAACCCTTCTGCGCTTCGATGTGGCGCAGATCTGATGGCAGGGCTGCTCTATTGGCTGCTCTGATGCCGTATCAGGGCTGCTCTATTGGCTGCTCTGATGACGTATCAATAAATACACAGAATGGCACAGGTAAAACACGCGTGAGCCACAGTAGTGTAGCGGTTAGCACACCTGTCCCTGAGTGAGTCGGGAAAACAGGGAACTGGGGTTCGACTCCTCCCTGTGTCTCAATTTTATTTCGGCTAATCTAAATGGTTTGGCGAGGTACCTGCTCAGTTAAGCTCCATCTATACAATCCCATTACAGAGAAGAGATAAACAGATACAGGAGGAGGTAGATGTTTTAATGAACCATTTTATAATTCAATACAGATTGTAATTTAACACATTACTCAATATATATTCCCAAAAATTGTATTTCTCCAACACAAATTAATAAACATTTATCAATAAATAAGCTTTACTATTCGTATATTTTTTGAAATTGGCAAAAAAGCAAGGCTACAAAGGACCACACCAAATTTCATATTAAACCGATAAATCAATAAAACACTCTACGTAAATTTAAATGTCCTTACAATACTGTCCATATTCTTGGTAAGTTACCAAATATGAATACTTTAACTTACTTTGTTAATGCTCATGTTACTGAAATAATAATGTGTTATTTCTTCTACTTCAATATAAACCCAGGAACAATTGGCTTTGGGTATACACTAAACAAATATGTGGATACAAAATGAGAATATTTAATTCTATACTTCATCTTACCTCAGTATTTAGGAGAGAGGAGCATTCCCCTGTGCTACAGCAGACTGCACACCCAGCTTTATGATGCAAACTGTAGATATATTTTTCCCAGATAAACTCACATGTTGAACACTTACCTGTAACTAACCTGGATCTTCACAATGGTACAGCCCTTTTGACATAACTCAGCCAAAAGGAGAGAATAAATAAAAATTTATAGAAGCACTGGATGAGTTTCTTCTCTCTTTTATCCCTCTCTTGCTCTCTCTATCTGTATTTACATGCCTTGGGTGGAGGTGTAGGGTGAAACCATCTTTGCTATGCATTGCAAATATTTTGTGGCACTTCCCTATTGTACTTGATGTGCTGCCAAAGGGACAGTCACCAAGGAAGTAAAAACACAAAACTATTTTATGAACTTGTGTATCTATACCTGCAATCACCATGCATTCTTTTATCAGAGATCAATTGAAACCCCCACCTCACATAAACTGATCTATAGAAATGTTTGTGTGTAGTGACAGCAACACACATGATGAGGTCATGTAAATGTGAGGACAACATATTGTAAGAAGTTGTTTGCATATTAAATTCATTTATTTACATTATGTAAAACAAGTGGAACCATTGTTTCAGAACTTCATATGTTGCTGCATAATTCAGTCAGCAAATGAGCCATCCAGGTTCAAAATGGATGTAATTCACTGAAAAAAGTCATTCGGAGAGGTATTGCACAAAAGATATTTAGGCTAGAACTTTCATATATGCAGTAATCTGTGTACCCACCAAAACAGAGAAATTTGGCAATTTGATAAAACGTTTGAACCTTCAGAAATGCTATGAAAGCACATAATGTGTAAAGCATCCCACTATAGCTAAACCATTTCGTCATGAACACAATTTCACAAACATCCTTATCAGTGCAGAGGCAAATATGAGCCCAGGAAATTTCATGGGTTTTCAATTTTTTGAGTCCTTTCCAGCTTTTTATATTAACATTAACATATTTTTCAGCTTTGTGAATGAACAGACAGGATTTAAACAGGTAATATCAAAATAACAATAAGAATATAATCCCCCTCCCATCATACCTCAGTGTGAGGAGAGAGTGAACACCCTGCGAGCTGGAGAAGAGCACACAGAGCAGCATGGATGCAGATTCACCTCCCTCTCACTCCCTGTGTGGAGGAAGCGCAGGGCCAAAGCCATCACTGCCAATGTGAAATGCAAAGCATTTATGGTGCTGTGAAAAACATTTCCCTGTATTTCTTACATATCTTCCACATTTCCTCATTTAGTCGGGTCATTTATTGTGTTGTTGTGATGCAAAAAGGAGGTATGACAGAAAGACTGCAGTCTTTTAGAAATAAGTGAAATAAATATCACAATGTTGTGGTATATTTGACCCAGGTTCCTGCTTGTGTGATATTAGGTTATGTTGAGACATCCTATCATTCAAAAAAAAAAAAAAAAACAGCAGCTAATGCTCCACAGCAGTACAGTACACCATAATGCTGAAGGTCATTTGAATCTGTAGCCAAAAGCATGGCCATTGGGACAGTGCAAAACCACAACAATTGTCAATGTTTAAAATATGTGTTTATACCTGTCATCCAAGGGTCCAACATTTGGCACATTATTAAATGTTAATTTAATGCAACAGCACAACAGTGCAACCGCAAACTAAATCTGATACAGTCATATTTTAGTCATCAGTTATGATAATCATGTGTTTATGAACAGCCCTGATCAACCCTAGTCCAACCTGTGAAACAGGACAAACAGGGAACATGTTACCTATAAGAGAATGTTGTGTTTAAGGAAGTGTTATGTGTTTAAGTTTTCTAATAGATCTCATCCTCATTCATTTAATATCTTTTACTTTATCTCTCAAAAGTCAGAGAATTATGTAAAGTGAAAAAACACTTGAGGAGGGACTCACATATGTCCCCTGCATTCTGCTGAATGACCTCTAGGTGTCTCTAGAGCTACCACATTTACCACTAAATCCTTTGCCTCTTCTAATCTGCTGCACGTCAAATTTATGGGAGTATCTGTTCTTGTATGTGCTTTCCAAGTACATTTTTGGGATAAGAGACAGGACTGTCAATAAACCTCCTTCTTTTTATCAAATCAGACAAAATTTGACAAGGTGGTAGAGGAAAAGCATGTCATTTACACTTTCATTGAACTTTTCTGGGAAGTTTCTCCTCTACAAAAAGATTTGTTGTCAATCAGGTTATATCTTTGTGCATCCAAAGTGAACAGTGGGTGAGGTTAGTGGACTGGTAATATGTATCATATTGTATGTGTTGAAATGACATGTTTCCTTGTGCCTAAAATAACATTAGATTTAAACATCACAAATACATATTTAGTATAGTGTGTTCTTTTTCAGTGTAATGGCATACTGTAGCTCAAGCAGTCCTGTATATTACCTACCAGACAGTAAAAAGATGCATAATACCAGATGTTATTTTAAATACCAGCTGTCATTAACTCTCACACTTCTCAAATGAAATATAATTAAAAAATAGTGATCAAAACTTATATTGCCATGCCCTTATGCCTCTAAGAATTGGCTATTTGAGTATAATAATGTGTTCACCGCATATTGTGTGAAGGAGCACAGCTAATCTAACATAGTCTTTGACACAATTTGCCAAAAGCCTTTTCAATATAAAAGTCAATGTAAACCTGAGGTAATTTCATAAATTTCCCATAACTGGGTGTTTCGTTAGCTTTTAATGTCAGCTTAAACATAACTTTTGAACAAAATGATGATTTTATTTTCCATGAACTCAGCTGCGCTGTAGATCACATGCTCTTCAATTGTTGGTCACCTGCTGAAACATCCACCACCCGCCATGCTATCATTTTCCTGTCTGTATTTTCCGAGCCAAGATTCCAGACGGGATTTTGAGGCAGAATATGTTCACCCGCTCTGTAGGTGTGACGCTCAATCATCTGTCAAATGCCAACCACAGCCTCTCACTTTCCAGTGCTGGCACACCGTGAGTGAGCCATCCATCAGCCTGACTTTGTGCTCGTCTGGAGCCTTTTCCCTCCTCAACAACCCACCTCATTTTATCTAACTTTACCAAAATGCTGGCATTCGGGCCTATTGGATTACCCTGACCTTTCTTTGAAGGCATCATGTTACTAAGATGCCTTTTGGACAAAATGTCAGTGCTGAATATAAAAGAGCCAGGTAAAGGCACTGTCTATCTGTAACGTTTCAGCCGCGGCAAGTAAGTGCTGTGTTTTTTTCCCCACCCTCTTGTCACTTCACATAACACATCCATTCTCTGCTCTGTCCTCTTACAGTGAAAAAAAACTGCAGCTGGGAAGCGATTTCTGGTCGTGGAAACAAATTTCTACAGACAGAGGAGCCTGGAGCCTCTGGCTCTCCCCATGTTGCACAAATGTCAGAGATTCTGCCCATTACTGGCCTGTCTATTCTGCTGTTTCAATGAGTGAAATATCAAGACACTTTTAACAATTTCTGTCCCCCAATTCCCTCTCAGAGTGGAAGGCCAGGAACCATTTAGTTCACATTGCACACTGAAAAAATTCGACTTTGGATCATAAAAATCTGCATAAAAATATGTTAATTCTTTATGCCCAATTTCATTCGTTTCTCTCAACTGAAAAACATCACATTCCGTTTCAACAAGTCTAATATTTTTTTTTTTTTAAATAATTAAAAAATGGGAGGGGCTGTGCCTCACTGTTCATCATTTTGCACATACATTTGCACATACCACAGATTACTACTCCCAGAGCAAAAATGTGAGGTGCCGGTGTGAATGATTGTTTAGATTGTCTGAAAATAATAACAACAAATCAGCCAAGAACAATAAATTGACACAGGGGTGACAGGATAAAAGATTTTCTATTTCCAAATGATGGATCTGAATGCAATTAGCGCTGAGGAGGACCACTGCCAAGTGTGAAACAATGACAGCAACCTGGTGACAAGGAGAGCAAAACAGTGAGGGCTGGAACTCAACTGGCCTTGTGCTAATTTCAACAGCATTGCTTGTTTTTCTCTCTCTCCTTCTCTCTCTCTCGCTCTTTCCCTGTATCTCTCCCTGTATCTCATCAGTCCCTGAATAGCTCCGGCACAAAGACATCATTATTCCCCTCACTCTAACACAGAGCTGTCGGTTTTGGCTGCCCCCACCCCCCACCCCCCCTCCACTCCCTCCAAAAAAAAAAAAGCAAGTGCATCCAAGGTTGTGAAGCCCAGTCGTTTCCACATGCAGGTCCTCTGTGCACAGATTATCCCACAGAGTGATTTAGAGTGATGAGGCCTACTGAGGGCTCTAGCAGGGCCAGGAGAAATTATCTATGAGGCTGAGGACACTGAGATTGGATTCACTCTGAAAACTGTGTAATCTTCAGCACCGGCATTACTACTGCTCGTCTGACTTCATGTCCCCCTCCTCATCAGTCATATCCCCATTCACCCACGCC